TTTTTGAAGGGTGTTGGGGGTCTGATAGAGGGTTGATAAGGGGGCTGATGGGGGGAGGGTAGTGGGTGGGGGGTAAAAAATAAAAAATTGAAATTAGAAATATCATTTAAAAATAATTTTTAATATTTTTTTGGGAGAGGGTGGGGTAAAAAAATTAAATTTAAAAACAAGCTTTAAAATTATTATTATTTTTTGGGGGGAGGGGGGGTGGAGGGGGGGCTGATTTGAGGGTAGGGGCAAAATAAATTGATTCTTTCAACAAAAAGAATAATTGTAATTTGAAGTTTGAAAAGAGTTTTGGAAAAAAAAATTTCCTTAAGTTTTGAAGGGAAGTCATTTTCCTTAAATTTGTGGAAAATGAGCTGATTTGGAAAACATTTTCCAAAACATTTAACCAAACTAAACACACCCTAAGTGGTGGCAATCCTGGTAACTTTATTATTTTATCCTTAGCATCATAATTTTTGAAATATTCATAATAATCTTTGAATCTATATAGTACATCAAAAACTGTGATTGGTTGGATCCAAAATAATGTAGATGAAATTTTTTTTGCCACTAAACCAATCCGTTCCATAATAATAGTGAAGATGATATAAGAAAAAGGGGTACCTTTATTTGCATTTGATTGAATTAAATTGAAAATAAATTTTGACCCATGAGACTTTATAGAAGAATAGAGCAAGTGGAACTCATCAATTGGACTTAATTAGACTTTTCCATCATAGCCATCAGAGAAAGGAAAAAGCTTAATCCTTCAACGTTTGAGAGTTTTTTTTTACTGAAACCTGATAGACTTGTGGTTAAATTGACTTCAATACCTAAATTGATTAATAGTTTGGAAAATTGAAGACATTGATTAATTTGTTCTTGGCCTGGGAATAGTGCTATAAGAACATGAGATTTTTCATTTTGTAAATTTTTATGTTTTGAGTGGTGAAAAAGAGAGGTATCCAAGAAGGAGAATGATGATTTTGGGAAGGAGAACTTTGTAAAGGAAGAAAGAGTTTTTGTACTGACTTGGTTACAGCTGATTAAGGTCACGCATACTTACAGTAGTATGTAAATGGTTTTAGATATAAAAAAAATCTAAAATTCTTTATCATATTTCTTTAAACATCTACCTTAAATATTTAAGTTTTGAGATAATATAATTTTATTAAATAAAAATATATCAAAAGATATTTTACTCAAACTTTCTTGATGTTCCAAGAAGTATCTGGAATTCTTTGTTATACCAAGAATCAACTTTATTATTTAGCAAAAAATAACACAAGAAATGCATGAGTACTTTAGAGTAATAAGTAACAAAAAAAACATAATGATAGCAAGTAGTATTCTTTATTATTAGATATAACGTGTGCTAACAAATTAGAGTTACAAAAGCATGACACAAGTACATATTCGATAATGCATAAGTACCCCTCCTAAACTATGGCTGAAATTCAATTGACACACATTAACTTAATTAGGGTCCTATTATCCCTGGAACTAATTTTTTTCTTACATTCGTGCGCACACCTTTTGTGCTGACGTGACACCTTCAACCAAATAAATTTGTTATGTTTGTACACACGTGTCTGTCACGTGTGTAAATTTTTAAAAAAATATATAAATTAAAGGACACTTTTTTTTAAAAAAAATTAACATAATTTTCTAAAAATAATTAAAAGTGAAATATAAGAAATCAACGAAAGAAAAAAATTTAAAAATTAAAGTGAGGAAGAACTTAATATAATTATTTCATAAACAAAGAAAATTATTCATTATGAATATAATTTCAAAGAAATTCACTATTTTTTCTGAAACGAAGAACAAACTCTTAAAAAGACTACTTGATTACTATCTATTTTATTGAAGTCATCTATTCATGAGTGATTTAGTACTCATTATGACCAAGTAAAATCTCATTAGCAAAAGACCTTGAGATTCACACTTGATGTACCATTTTCCTTCATAGCTTCCTTAGCTAAATCACCCAATTTCTTGACATTTCTTCTCAATTCTTCCCCTTCTTCACCGTCCCCCATCACGATCGTGATACATCTATTGAACTCATCTCTTTCCACGACACCACCTTCACTAACATTAACTCTAACACCATTCTTCCAAACATCTTGAATGAGTTTTGCATTACAAACTTGATCATTCCAGAGTGGACATGCCACAATAGGTACCTTAGATGCTATGCTCTCTAAAGTTGAATTCCATCCACAGTGAGTCAAAAAACAACCAACATAAGGGTGTTTTAGAACTTCCACTTGCGAGCACCAACTCACTATCTTCCCCTGCTTTTCAAGTTCGTCTTTGCAACTCAACTTGTCCTCCATCTTCTCTGTCTTGTCCTTCCCTAATCGCCCACAAAAATGGCCTCCCACATTTCAGCAATCC